CCATATTACTATAGACGTTGTAAAGATCATCCTCCAATCCGCTAAAAATGCAATTCTTGCATAAGAAATATGAGTGCTTCCATGCCTCAATCACGATAAAACATTCGTTCTCAAGAGTTGATTCCGGCAGAACCGAAACATCCTCCTTGATGAACTTATGTAGACTCAAAGTAGTCAAATAGAAGAACATCTTTTGTTGCCAATGTTTGAAATTAATCCCGAAAAAAAATTTGGGCTTTTCTACCAGAGTCGGTGGTGGCACAGAACGACCGGAAGAAGCAACATTGCTCGTAGAGCCAACTAGAGGGGTTACTGTTTCTGTCATATCTGTTAGTCACAAAACACAAACAAAATTAATTAACGGTGAAGTTTTTAAAATCTTCGAACCGAATAAACTTTGACAGAAACAGATTGAATAACATGGTAAAGATTTTATATCTTCAAATCGAATACAAAACGAGTAAATAATAACAAAGATTTTAATCCCGTAATTGAGTAGAAAGTCACAAAGACTTTAATCTCAACCAAGGAGTAGAAAATCTAAAGATTTTAGTCTCCAAAATGAGAGTAAAAATCACTAGGATTTAGTCTCCCACAAACATAATATAAGATGAATACATAATTAAAAAAATTAGTTCCTTAAGCTTGTTAGTAATCCGTATCAAAAAATATATTCAAAAAACCAGACGCAAAGTAAAACTAGAAATGTAGAAGAACAGAAATTAATCCGAGCCCACTGAATTCATAGTGTTTTCTTGAGGAACTTAATCCCCTCCTACTATCCGATGTTTAAGATTATTTTCTCTCATGATAGAACGGATTACCCTCACTGGTCTAGCGGTACTTCAAACTCCAATGACCAACGAACTCAAAGATCGGTAGCAAATCATACTTACTGCTTTCTTTATGTTAAAAACAATGCAAAAGGAAGAATGAGAAATCAAAAATTTTCGTAAGAAGAATCTGTGGGAAAGATCATGTATTTATAGCCAAAAAGTTGGGTAATACCAAAGAGTTGCAACTCTTCATGTAAAGGCTGCAACTCAAAATGGTTGTTATATAAAACGGTCATTTACGCAAATCTCCAAATTTAAATTTGAACGGGAAATTTAAAACGGAGGAAAAATAATTTACCGTCACAAAAATGACTAATTTGGATTAAAATAATATTACGTTAATCTTAATATTAATAAATAAATTTGATCCAAATAATTAATCAACAGAAGCCGAGCGACGAAGGCGCGAGGCTTGCCTTCTTCTTAACTCTTTAAGAGCTAGAAGAAGTACAATTATGTATATACCCATCAAAACTCTTTTCCTCCTCCAATATGGGACAATGTCCTTTTGTTAAAGAGGAAAATTCAAAAATTTTGTTTTTCTGTCCATTTTCCATTCACTCTATTTTAAGTTATAACAAGCTTCTAATCATGGCAGTCTTAAGTATAATACCTATCATTATCAGTCCTTATTCTTCCATTTCAAACAAATAATATACATCAAGTCTGTTTTGGTTCCTCTCCGATAAGAACCAATTATCCCAACAAGAAGTGGAATCCATGTTAGATAGCATAAACCTCCAAAAGGCTCATATAAGTTGAATATTGATGGGGCCTTTAAGATTGGGAGACTCTGCGAGCAAGGCTAGGAGGGGTCTTCAGGAAATTGCAGAGGTGACTGGGTGATGGGTTACGCTGATTCATGTCTTGCAGCTGAACTAGTAGCTAGCTCTCCGGCAATACTTGAGGACTGCCTGCACTTTGAAGCTAGAAACCGATTCAACAGAAATGATTAGAACATTACAAGACAGTAATGAAACTTGTAATGATGTTATTAATAAATGCAGGTTGTTAATGCTCTAACTGAAGGTCCCGCCGGTCAAGCATAACTTAAGGCAAGGGAATGCAGTTGTTGTACACCTACTAGCATAAGCTAAGGAAGCTTCCATCCAGTCTAATTTAACAAGACTACGTGCTTTGTTCGTCCACAGCTTTTTGTTGTGTGAAATCCAAAAAGACAAGCAAGGAGTATCTGATTTTGTCAAATGTCTTTCATCTACCGTTTGTAATATGTTACTATGGGAAATGAATGTGTCCTATGTGACCCTATTATGGAATGTAATATATATTTCCTCAAAAAAACAAAAACAAAATGTCTGTTTAATTTCTCTGCTTTATGAGCGTTGCCCTTCTGCTTTACTTACGTTCAACAATTAAAGGGAAGTTGTTATGAATGTGTTTACATCATTGTTTGAGGTTTTATGTGAGAAAGAAATAAAGGACTCAAACAAAACCGCAAAGTGGATGAACAGACGCGATATATTTACTTTCTACATGCTATATAATATATATCCTTCTTTTTGTGGAGGGTAAAAGAAAAGAGTTTCTTTTTTTGCACAATGGATTATTTATTTAAAACTATTTATATAACTAACATCACTTTTGATTTATTTTTAAAATAGCATATTTATTTACGTTTCTAGCATATTAAAAAGTTTAAACGTCTAATGGCTAACAAAATTTTAATAATTCACTTGCCGACAAATTAAGGGATCAATTTAATCCTTATTAAATATATTATTATACATTCTCTCTCATCATTATACTAACCATTCCCGTTATTCTCTCTAAAATTCACCCATATCTCTTGCCTTCTATATTTTATCAAATTCACTGCAAATCCCTCCACACCTCTTCTTCAAGACACCACAAACTGTTTCACTAAGATCATTGCAATTAAGAGAAAGAAGAAACAAGGAAAACCATGAATGCCTTTCAGTAACGCTATCACATAGTGAATAAAAAGATAGAGATACATAGAACAACAAAAACATACCCAGTGATTTTCCGCATACCCAGTAATACATAGAGAGAAAGAGAAAGACTGAAAGAAGAAGTCTTGGTTCTCAAAATTTCTAACAAACTGAAGGTTGCACACTAGCACTCAAATTCCTGTGAGCTTTTTGTTCAAGTGTTTTGCTCTGGTGTATATATTTTTATGTATATTGATGTATTTTTAATGTATACTAATTCATAATCTTAAGTATTTTTACTGTTTATTAAGATGTAATTTTTATTGTATATCTTCTGTATTTTAATTATGTACCATGACGTAATTGTTGGCAGATAGATTTAATATACCTCGAACATAAATAGTGAAGAATTACTGATCGAGTATAAATCACGTGTGCAATATCGATTATCTCCCTTCATATAAATAATTGCTGACTATTTTCTGCTACGTTCTTTTATGACTTGCTTTATCAAAAGAAGTAATACGACCATACGATTGCTTTTCCAACTAAAGTGAGACGAGTGGGATTTTAGTTTAGGTTGTAAAGCGAAAAATGATAGCCGACTCTCCTACGGTTCTTGGAAGAACTTGAAGTAATTAAGAACATCAGCTCAGACGATCCACCTCTTGGTAGTTTTATTCCATGCACATGTTATAAAAGGTAGATAAACGGGGTTAAGGGCTCTAGTCTTAGCACAGATTATATATGGAAATATGATAGTGACATTGCAATGGTCAAAATTGCTTAAAAAAACGTTTAATGATGATAGCATCCAAGTGAAAAATATTAAGCAAAGTGGTGAATCACAAGTCGTGCAGTCAATGTCCAAAAATATCTTTTGCCTGCTTTGAGCTGTGTCGAAGCATTTTTGTTCCAACTCTATGACCTATCTGTTATAGGTTAGCTAGCTCACTTAGTAAGCTCCCTGCCTTCTACAGTTGAGATAGAAGATTCAAACCCCATCAGTAGCGTAGTATCCCCTTTCCCTCTCCCCGATGTAACTATTTTTTTAATTAGCACATGTTAGCTAGCTCACTTGGTAAGCTCCCTGGAAGATTCAAACCCGATAAGTAGCATAGTATCCCCTCTCCTCCTCCCCCGATGTAATAAATTTTTTGTTTACTTAATAAAACCTAGATAAAATTAGGAAAGACGATGTTAATACATTCCAGAGTCCAGACCATAAGCGCTTAAGTGAAGGAAATTGAACTATCACACCAACAAGGCCATGGATAATCACAATAAAGACGGAAAACTGAAGAACATAGGTTAACTAATTATAATTCAGTAATAAGCATTATGTACAAGACACACGTTTTGAATTGGCGCATGCACCAACCAAAAACACCAAGACAAAGCTGATTGAACGGATGTTTGTCTTTCACAGAACCCCCAACCATCATGCGTTCCTCATGTAGTATGTACGAACCCAGGCTGCTGACAAAGAAAAGACAGCCAATGGTGGTAAAATTAGCTGCTCACAGAATAGATAGCATCAAAGGAACATCTTTGCATGAAGCAATACTCCGTAACGGCGGAGAGGCGTTTCACCTCAAATTCAAATGATTTCTCGTCTAAGACATGATTGATACATCAAGAAACAATTGATAGGGGAACCACACATTGTAGGATTATTCTAACTCTATAATGTGAAGTTGATATGAAACGAATTTCTTCAAACCCAAATTATAACCAAAGACTCTCCCACCCCTCCCCAGGCCTTAAAACTCATCTCTTATTTTTGACATACAATTTATGAAAAATATGAAAGATAATGACATAAGAATGTACACAAGGCTAGTCCAAATTTCTCCATTCATGGTTCCCAATTCAGGACCAGAATTGGTTCCCTCACAAATTTTGCACTTGTTGGTAAGGAGAATTTTGTACTTTCTACAGCACAATCCATTGAACTCAATCGTTTTGTCAGAAAATAAAAAGAGGTCCAGAATTCATATCACATGACAATTATGTACTTTCTACAGCTCAACTACTGAGCACACCAATTTGTGACAAAGTAAAGAGAGGATATGAAAAACAAAAATGGAACCACGCAAATGCACTTAGAGAAAAAGCAATGGAAGCATGGTAACCTTCACCATGGACGGCAGAACCACAATCAGCAGATCAAACCACCGTGTGTTCCACATTTCAGCGGTCGAAATTCGCAGATCCATCCAAGAAAATTTGTCAATTCACCAAACAAAGGCCAGCGAGAATACACGCCAAAAGAATAGAACAATACTAGACTGAGAAACAAAGCGTAAAGATCTTTACAGAAAACCAATGTCTTGTCTCCTCCTTACGGGGTCCTCTAGCTACATGCATTCAATTGTTCTGCTTTACCCAAACACTCAAGATAGATGACTGAAATTTACACACCTACTAGACTGCCCACTGAAGAGCCAGAAAAAGAAAATCTTTATAAAGTTGAACATGATGAAGATAAGATGCTGGAAAGAAACCCCAAAAAGGGGAGAAGTAACATAACACAATGTACTTATTCTCAAAAAACGAAGATGCCTCCGTCTGAGCAGTTCATCAACTTGCTGTTGCAGCTCGAGTCCCTGCTAATATTAAAAAGGAAACAGAGCAAAGCTCAGTACAACAATAAGTGAGATAGGAAAATCGGAAAATCACATCTGAAAATAGTAGACTTGGTAAGTCAATCAGCATGTGAACCCAAATGTTAAATTCTGGTGCTTTGCCATGCAGTTTTCCTTTGATATTGAAATGCCAATAACTAATGTGTTGGCATACAAGCCCCAGCACGGTAAGCAACAACATGCAAGGATCAAATATGAAAAGAACATCCACCCCACCCCACCCAAGCGTAAGGAGGGGCTCACAACAGAGGCATACATTTTTCTTCCTTTTCTAGAAGAAAAGAGTGTTGGCGGCGATAATATAAGCCAACTGATGCAAAAATGAAAAAAAAGGAACTCGATGTCGAAGGCTGTCGATGTCTCAATTTGACAAATTTAAGAGTAAGATCAAACATGAGAAATTTTCTCTGTATATTCATAAGTTTATGCTACATAAAGATATAAAAGATTAGATATTTTGCAATCCAAACCATTCATATTATTTTATCGAAATAGAGTTAAAGTTAAGTTACTTTCAAGTAGTGAAAAGGTAGAATCTTTCTGGGACTTGAGGGAACCAGACGAAAATGCAACTCTTCGCAGTATTTATCACAATAAATCTTCACAATTGAACTATTTAGGCTGAATATATAGATGGCCCATCAAACTTGCCCGATTTCTTCATTTAGACACTTGCGCTAATGCTTTTACCTACTCCCTCCGTTTCAATTTATGTGAATATATTTGACTGGGCACGGCATTTAAAAAAAGAGAGAAGACTTTTGGAACTTGTGGTGTAAAATAAGACACATATTTTGTGTGGCTATAAATCATTGCATAAAGGTAAATTGTTTCCAAATTAAGGAAAGGAGTCATTCTTTTTGGCACGGACTAAAAAGGAAATAGGTTCACATAAATTGAAACGGAGGGAGTATTGAACAACAGTTGTTAGTTGAAAATGTACCTATTAGACACACGATGTTGATATGACACCGAGTGTGTTTCACACATCGTTTAAGAGCGTGATATGCCTATATAATGCTGATTACGTGGGTCCCAAGGACAGGTGAGTATTTTTATTTTTTCTCTTTTTTGTTCATCTAAAAGCTCAGCTACTAGCCTACTACTACCACCGTGCCGACATTTGTTTTCCGATCAATGTCAGACCGTCGATTTCTAGCTTAGTCTCTAATGGGTTCACTCCATAGTCCATAAGATGATTTCGCTAAGAAATTCAATGCAACTTGATAATTGCTGAAGTTTAAATCAGCTTTACCTATTTTTTGCCATCTCCTTGTATGGGGTTAGAGCTCGGTATAGCTTTCGCGGAATTGGGGAATTACGTAATCACGATAGGAAGAAAGAAGAAAGAAGAGTACTTTTGTTTTCTCAGTTTAAAATGGATTGGTTCAGATGGATCAAGATAGGAAAGAACACGGTAACTGCCTGAGTTCAATCGACAGTATGAACGTTCCGATGAAAAGGTCCTTTTTCGACCTTGGAAACAGTGTCATCGCGCAAAACGACAACATTTGGGTTGTCGTAAATGAAGAGTGCCGGTGACTGCTGGCTTTTCCAACAAACAAATCAGTAATGGGACGAGTGAAGTAATGTGATGAGATATTGACGAATATTGTTGCTGAAGAGAATGGAGAGGAAGAGACAAAGATAAAGAAATGGCATTTTTTTTTTTTGACAAGGAAGGACCCTGGATCGGGGGATAACGATAAAGAAATGGTATTTCTGGAGGCAAAGATTATTTAGTGCCAAGACTAATAATAGAAAGACGAGATTGCTTAGTTCCAATCAGGATGGGGCTTGCTCAAATAGGATTTGTTGCCGGAAATATGAAGGTCTGCTAGAATTCTTTTCCAATCAACTTCTCTTTTCTTAATCTTGCCCATTTTACTTTGATGACGTGTATTTTTATGATTGGCTTCATTTTCCACGTCACAGCGAGTGGAATTCACGCACTGAACTTAGTTTAGAATTGTGAATATGTGTTCAATTGACACAATTTGAACACAGGATAGGTGTGTTCAATAGGTACAAGCTTAGTTCAGGTGTCTAAATGAACAAATTGGGCACGTTTGAGGGTCGTCTATGTATGACCCAAAATTTAGATCTAGGTTTATACAATCAAGTTTATAATAAAGTAGGGTTAATCTTAGCCAATATTAATATCCAAAAGATAGACCAAATGTTTTTGTAGTAAGATCCCTCGTGTGCTGTTGAGTGGCAATGAATGACAACAATAATGGTATAATAAATGATTCAAGAATATGGAAGATAGCAATAAATAACAACGAATGACATTTAAGTAAATAAATGGATGAAGGTCACCCAACAAAGGTGAGATTCCCCAATAATTCTTGTGACAAGGATAGATGGTGATAAGCCTTTGAATATTCAGATCCTTCTTGGATCGGGGGAGAAAGAATAGATAAAGATACGAGAAAAAAGTAAACTTTTTAGAGAATGCCAATGTGTTGTTTTTTACAATGAATGTCCCCTCCCCTCTATAACTACATATCTTTCTATTTATAAGGGTGCATGGGTGATGGGCCACAAAACCATAAATAGTACAACTGAGAGGAATATTCACTGGAATATTCTCTGGCGAACCATCATCCTAGAACTAGCCGTTACTGCTTTAATGAAAGGAGTGTTCGTCATCGCCCTCAGTTGAGCCACTTCGACCTCGACGATGACGCGTTGTCTTCTTGTGACATCGACCTTTTGAGGTCAAGTCATCGACGACACGTGGCAGCCTTCGGAGGCTTCCTTGATGTCGACTTGGTCCACATATGATCATGGTAGTTTTTTACCCACACAGTCTGTGTGTTCAGCCAAATATTTAACTGTAGGAAAACTTTAAAGCCCCCGAGGATTGCACTGCATCCTTATATAAAAACTTAAATCACTGCCCAACAATTGATATAATACTATCACTTCATGATTTATTAGTACTTATTCAAGATCTGTAATTATTTAATAATATTTGTCAAATAACTATGAAAGATCAGTGTAATATATTCAGCAAACATCAGAAATGAACAATTAATTAGAACTTCGTGTCTTTGGATACAGGACCATAAGCATTACGCACACACAATATTTGTCAAATAACTATGAAAGATCAGTGTAATATATTCAGCAAACATCAGAAATGAACAATTAATTAGAACTTCGTGTCTTTGGATACAGGACCATAAGCATTACGCACACACAATATTTGTCAAATAACTATGAAAGATCAGTGTAATATATTCAGCAAACATCAGAAATGAACAATTAATTAGAACTTCGTGTCTTTGGATACAGGACCATAAGCATTACGCACACACAATATTTGTCAAATAACTATGAAAGATCAGTGTAATATATTCAGCAAACATCAGAAATGAACAATTAATTAGAACTTCGTGTCTTTGGATACAGGACCATAAGCATTACGCACACACAATATTTGTCAAATAACTATGAAAGATCAGTGTAATATATTCAGCAAACATCAGAAATGAACAATTAATTAGAACTTCGTGTCTTTGGATACAGGACCATAAGCATTACGCACACACATACACTCTTTTTTTTTTTAACAAGTACTGCTATATTTTTTAGGTATTTACATGCTATAGTGTTAAATTTTAGGTAGTGAAGCAGGGTCGGCAGATATAGCATTCTCTTCTATTTATTATAAGTGGACTCCACCCTTTGACTTGATTGAATTGAGTCTTCTTCTATAGCTTTCAAGTGCTGAACCCAATCCAACTCAAACCATGTACTTTTTCAGATTTGAGAGGTTAGGGAAGTTTGTTCCAAGTAAAAACTTGTCTTAACATTTCAAGAATCTTTCTTAAGCATAATCAAGCATGCCAAAGACTACTCATTATATTTAATTTGTGTCCTGCTAAATACTGTCATTAGTGGAATTTCCTATAAAACAATAAACCATGATATGCATTAGAAAATTTCAGTGCACGCCTCTAAATGCAAAGTCTAAGGATGTAATTGAACATGATAAAGACATGACTGTGAAAAAAGTATATAATCCAGATCCGGGTGGTAATCAGGATTCATGTGAACCAAAAGGATGACGCTTCATTTATTTCAGGTTTCAAAGTAGTTAGGTCCATACCAAAAAGTGAAATTAAAATTAAAGTCAAGTTAACCTTTTCTTTTACTCCTGCCAGAAGGGTTTCCAGTAGGGGCTCCACTACCCAATTCACAGCCAGAACCCTCCTTCAGTTCAGAGATCTGATTACCCAAACATTGGAGAGTCTCAAATTCACAATTATCGAAGCCTTGTCCATCTAATGCTGTGCCATCCGAGTTTTTACCTTCTGATCCAGGGTGGAGGCAGTAAACCCGATCATCACATTGCAAGTTGCAAGGGTTCATCACATATGCTCCAGGGAGATTAGGATTAACAAGGTTCTGATAAACATCCCCACTCTTCATAGGCTTCTGGTATGGAAAAGATCCAATTTCACCTTCAATTCTTCCACGGATATCCACAAGCAAGCACTTGAGCCTTGCAATCTCAGCTTCCAACACAGCCTGACCCTGCAGCCTTTTCATGAGTTGCTGATTTATAGCCCTTAATCTGACAACTTCGTCTTCTAATGAGGCAGCTCGAGCCTTCTTCTTCTCACGGTACTTACGAACCGCTTCTCTATTACCCAAAGGGCGTTTCTTTCTTTTTCCCTCTGCGGATTCAGCAGTATCATCACTTGCCGTCTTATCCTCACTCAGGGGAGGAACTATTTTGGTGTGAACATGATAACATGTATGTGTGTGAGTGCTATCAGGGCCAGGTGGATTGCAGGTGTGTGTATGAGTGCAGGCATGTGTATCCTTGAGAATTTCATTGAAGAAACTGTCCATCAAACCACTATCTGGAAATTCACCAAAATTTGAACTTGACAACATTTCTTGGTTAGAAAATTCCAGTTCCCCGTCATCCATCACAAAAATCCAAAAGAATTAAATAAGCCACAATCTGCAGGATAAACACAAGAAATTAGGACACGGTTTAGCGCCCCTAACTCTTTCTCCTCACTTTTTTATATTAAATAAAATAAATCCAAAAGAATTAAATAAGCCACAATCTGCAGGATAAACACAAGAAATTAGGACACGGTTTAGCGCCCCCTAACTCTTTCTCCTCACTTTTTTATATTAAATAAAATAATCCACATAGATCTTCATGGTTCCGAATTAAGAGACCCCTGTCCAGATCGCATTGCACCTCCAAACTCAGATGTCTCAACAACTAGTCGTGATGTCAGGAGGTGGGGCAAACCCCGCAAGCACAAGCAAGAGAACATGGCGAAGAATTCAAAATTTGAGCATGATAGGTAACATAACTATGCTTTGCCAGGAAAAATGAAGTTTCAAAGTTGAAATTCTAACTACAAGTTTAACTTGGTTGCACACAAAACACCTTAAACACACACAACTAACCCACCCCCACCCTCAACCCAATGATGCAAAACTCAGAATTTGCAAATGAATCAAAATCCTAGAAAGGAAAAGCAAGAGAACACGGCAAGGAGTTCAAAATTTGAGTAGAATAAGTAATATAACTATGCTTTGCCAGGAAAATTGAAGTATTTTGAAGCCGAAATTCTGACAAAGATTTTAACTTTCCATACGAAATAACTTATCAGACCCGCCCAACTACCCCATCTTCTAAAACAATAAACAAAATTCATATTTAATGTGTAACATGATTTCAAAGCAGAAAAATTGAATCTTGAATACTATTAAAGTTGAGAGTCTTAACAAAAAATTTAACTTCCCATACGAAATAGTAGCTTAAAAGAGACACCCAACTCTCCCATTCACCACAAGAATCAAAACCCAGAATTTGCCACATAAATTTAAAGCAGAAGAAAACGACTTTGATTCATGACCTTAACAACAACTATTATGCCTCAATCCCAAGTTAATTGGATCAGTTTCATTCAAATTCATGAGCTTAAACTTTCAGAAGATAACGATAAAGAAAAAAGAACCTTACGAGGTTACGACGAAACAATTATGCAGCGTCTGGAGTCTGAGTAGGTGAAGAGAGGGGTTAAAGATAAGGGCGAAAAATAAAGAATATGCGAGTTGTGCAGGAAAAGGGGAACCCTAGAAAAGGTGATTCTGGAGATATATGGGCAAATCTTTTAATGGCGGAAAAAGAATGGTCGAAGGAGAGGGGCCAATACTAGTCAGTGATTCCAACAAATGCAACAGGGTCCTCCTCTTCACTCTATGGGAAAGTCAGATACTCGATTGTTATTTATACCTACTTGAGGGGCCTCTGGTAATTCTTTAATCATGGAATTTCCTTAAACAAAAGTACAACTTGCGGTGCTGCATCAGACTACTATTAGTCATGCCACTATATAGTGTTAAATATCCTGGGCATTTATGAGACTATTTGTCTTAATGATCTGTTATATATATATATATATATNAAAATAAATTAATTTTAACTTTTCATTTTACTGTTAAAGAGAATTTTTTATAGCTATACAAATTATGATATGTTTAAGATAACAAGTTTAAAAAATCTTTCTTATCTCTTACTCATATAAATTGAAACGACGAAAGTATGTACATTTCAATCAATTGTCTATAGTTATCATATTTCTTTACAATGAGAAGTTCTGTGATGGCTTGTTCAATTAAGACTTAGGAACGGATGTAGTGTGTGGGTTACGATTTCATTCGATCAGTAATTTTTGCTGAACTCGATAGTGGTAAGAGTTTACTAGATAAGTATAGATTATTAATCTCAAACTCAATAAATAAAAAATACTATAGTAGAATCTCAAACTTAAATTCTTAAAATTTGAATTCTTAATCCACCTATATTAAAACTATATTCGCATATCAACAAATTCATCAGCCTTTTGAAAACTCGTAATAAAAATCGTTTTTATGTTTTTATTTTCATTTTTTAGTAAATCGTTTTTATGCAATGTATCAATGTATCAATTGTCAATCTATCATAACTCTTGTTTATTGGTGTTCGGTTACCACTTACCAACTTGCATAGCGGAGTCGCAGCAACTACTTCAGTCTCTACAAAATACTTCCCAGCAGCCTTTGTCATTAGGTCCAGTATTTTTAAATCGTTTTTGACTTTTGTTCGACCTTATAATTGGTGACTAACACCCC